GTTTCCAAGTAAGAGCCCATCTTTAAGGGCGAAGCACGCTTCAAAGGTAAATTCCGATTTTACACTTTTGTGATTATTTGTTATGCTTTATGATTTTATTAGTTGCGAGTGGTTCCTTGGGTCGGGGTTGTTTCCGCGGTGAGTCGGACTCACCAAACCCCAACAAGAAATCACATCAAAAGAGCAAATTATCAAAAAATGGCCCAAATATGGCCTATATGACTTCTATTTAGCCCATTTTCTACCTTTCTTATCAAATGAACTATTTCTTTACCATAACAAGTCAAGGTTACCTATTTTTATGTGCCTAAGGTTTGAAATCACATCAGAGCATTTTATTAAGTTTTAAGACGCATTGTACTCAAAATGGCCCAAATATAGCTTGTATGACTTTTACTTTGCCCATTTCCTACATTTCTTATCAAATGAACTATTTCTTTCTCATAACATGTAAGTGTTTCCTAGTTTTAGGTGTCTAAGGCTAAAAATTTAATCTAAAAAGCAATTTACCAAAAATTGCCCCAATATGGCCTACATGCATGACTTCTATTTAGCCCAATTACTAAGTTTCTTATCAAATGATCTATTTCTTTCTTATAACATGTGAATATTATCTATTTTTAGGTCTATGAGGTTATGAATCACATCAAAAGAGCATATTAACAAAAAATGGCCCAAATATGGCCTATATAACTTCTTTTTAGCCCATTTTCTACATTTCTTATCAAATGAACTGTTTCTTTCTTATAACATGTCAATATTGGCTATTATTTGGTGTCTAAGGCTTAAAATTACCTCAATAGAGCATTTTATTAAGTTTTAAGATGCATTTTACTCAAAATGGCTCAAATATGGCCTATATGACTTTTACTTTGGCCATTTCCTAAATTTCTTATCAAATAAACTATTTCTTTCTCAGAACATGTCAATATTATCTAGTTTTAGGTGTATAAGGTTTTAAATCACATCAAAAGAGCATATTAACAAAAAAAAAGGCCAAATATGGCCTATATGACTTCTATTTAGCCCAATTTCTACCTTTCTTATCAAATGAACTATTTAATTCTCATATCATGTTAATGTTATCTACTTTTATATGTATAAGGCTTGAAATCATAATAAAAGAGCATTTCGTTAAGTTTTAGGACTTACCCCACTGTTTTGGGTGGAGGAAGATTTCAAATCCGACCCTCAGTCCAAAAAGTGTACCCATTGATGACATTTCCCTCAAATGAACAAACATCATGTTTAGGATCGTACGCAAGCTACCGTACTATATCAGTCAAATTAGTATCATCCAATCGTCCCATTACTCGATCACAAAACCAATTAACAAACCTCTTATTATGCAACTACATAAGTTCCCTTTCACCTTTTGATTGAAATTCATCATGCAAACTAGCCATGTGCTCGTCTAAATATGGGTGAACATCTGCAACATGGTGCAACATATAAAGGTGTGCTTGTAAGAATTGATCTCGTTCAGGTGACATTCGTTTCAACCCAATTGTGTCATGACCATCAAGTCTCCCTTCATGTCGAGAAGTAGGAAGACCAATAGGTGGAGCAACGGCTATATAGTCGGCCACAAAGTTACCTATCTCTTCACCCATGGTCCCTTGCATCATACTTCCTTCCGGGTGAGCCCGGTTTCGTACTTTATTTTGCAATGTACCCATGTGTATTTCAAAAGTATATTACCACCCCATGAACATTGGACCGCACAACTTAATCTCATGCACCAAATAAAGAATCAGATGAACCATTATGTCAAAAAATGAGGGTGGGAAATATATCTCAAATTTGCACAAAGTCATAACCACATCCGCTTGCAAAGCATCTAGTGTACAAGGTCAAGCACTTTGCTGGATATTGTATTGAAAAACGGAAAAAGGTTTGTAAATGCTTCCCTCACGTGTTCGGTAAAATACCATGAATTGCAATCGGTTGGAATACTTGCATCATAATGTGACAATCATGGGATTTCATACTTGTCAGGTTCAATTCTCCATTCAAGGATACAAATCTTTTCATGTTAGATAAGTACCTTGATGGAACCTTAATGTCGTACAGACATGCACAAAACATACGTTTCTCTACCATTGACAATGTATAGCAAGCCGAAGGTAAATATGTCTTTTCATCCTTCCCTTTACCCTTTTCATGAGCCCACAATTCTGGACGAATCCCCATCTCTTGAAAATCTAACCGTGCACCCTTTCCTTCCTTTGTTTTGCCTTGAATATTCATAAGTGTTCCCAAAAGAGCATCACACATTCTTCTATATATGTATCACATCAAGACAGTGCCTAACGTCATGTTCTTTCCAGTATGGAATCTTCCAAAAGATTGATTCTTTCTTAAATAGAACAGATGAGACCACAATTTTTTATGATTTTCCAAACGCCGTTCGTATATCCTTAACCCGAGCATAAAACTCAGCACCACTCAATGGTCTAGGCGCAGTATCCTGTTCCACTGTCCCATTGAAAGCCTTTTTCTGCCTACGGTACGGGTGATCATGCCTAAGGAACCTTCGAGTCCGCAAGTAGACAACTATGCAAGAATTCTTAAAGTATACGCTTGATGTGTCATCAATACATATGGGGCATGCTTTTTTTCCTTTGACCTTGTACCCACACAAGTTGCCATATGCAAGGAAGTCATTCATGGTCCACATAAGGGCTGCACGCAATGTGAACATCTCGTTCTTATGAGCATCGAAAACAGAAACCCCTTCATCCCACATCTTTCTCAAATCGTCAATAAGTGGCACAAGGTAAACATCTATGTCATTGATAGGTTTCCTAAGCCTCGTTATTAGCAATGAAAGCATTACATACTTATGTTTCATGCACAGCAAAGGACGCAAATTATAGATCACTAAAAGTACTGCCCATGTGTTGTGTTGGGTACTAAGAGTGCCAAATGGATTCATCCCATCCGTGCACAACCCAAGCCTTAAATTTCTGACTTCATCACCAAATTTCTCAAAATTTAAATCAATATTCTTCCACTACAGGGAGTCAGGGGGATGCTTCAGCATTCTGTTTTTCTTTCTCCCCTCTGCATGCCACCTCAAGTTTTTAGCGTCGTTTGGTATTGAGAATAGACGCTTAAACCTTGGAATAATGGGATGATACCACAACACCTTAGCAGGAGGTCCCTCCGTATAAGGATTGCAACTCATGCGCTTCTAGCGCGACAACTTGCATCGTGGACACTCCCGCAATTGTTCATACTCATTTCGATAAAGAATACAATCATTAGGACATGATGTATCTTCTTATACTCTTAGCCAAAGGGACACATGAGCTTCTTTGTATAATATTAAGATTTAGGAATTTCATTCCCATTAGGCAACATATCACTTAATGCAGTCAACAAAGAAGTGAAACTAATGTCCGTCCACCCATGTTTCGACTTAATGTTGAAAAGTGTTAGCACAACAGATAGTTTGGAGTAATGTTTGCACCCAAGATACAAAGGGTTTTTCGAAGCCTCCGATAATAACTCAAACACGCCACCTTCAACACCGTACAACATCTCATCCACGTCTTCATCCTCAACCTCATCCGCCTGATCATCATCGGCTCCATCCTCACCATTATCAACAATATACTCATCATTCTTGTATTCCTCGTCCACATGAATCTCATTTCTTCTAACACGCACATCATTCCGATCAAGATCGCCACTGTACTCTCCACCTTCATCGTGCCAAATCCACACATGGTATTTATGCCTAAACCCACGACATAATACATGATCTCTAATGATTTCAACAATGACGACCACATTCACATTATTACAATCAACACAAGGACAATTAAGGCCTTTGTCACCTAGCTTGCGTTGATAAGATAAAGCCCTCTTGCAAAACTCTTGAACTCCATTCCAAATTTCCAATGTATCGCGTCTACCGTACATCCAACCACGATCCTTCTCCATTTAGTAAATTGTCTCTAAACATATATAACAACATATAATGAATAATGTGTAATTGATACATATTTTATGTAAATCAAATTCAAGTACACATCGTGAATATACATTCATATAGTGAAAAAATGCATGTTTCCAAAAGGTCCTTATCACTCCAACCTAACCCATCCTTGAATGTCTACTCTCACTACAAAGAAATTACTTATACAAGCAAGTAAAAAATGCCTCTAATAATAATGATATTGCCTCTAATACCTTTTAAAGATAATTAATTAAGTGCCTCTAAAAATTCTGTCGCTAATTAATTATTGCCCTTAAAGCCTTTTTTAGAGGCAATACAATGCATTGCTTCTAAAAATCCATATATTTAGAGGCAACCGTATAACCTTTCCCCTAAATATAATTAGAGGCAACCGTATAATCTTGCCCCTAAATATATTTATAGGAATTTTGTAAATTTGCTTCTAAATACCATATATATTTAGGGGCAGCCATATTATATTGCCTCAAAATATAATTAGAGTCATTATACCTATTTGCTTCTATATATCATATACATTTAGAGGCAATCATGTAATTTTGTCTCAAAATATAATTAGATGCAATCTTATATATTAATGCTAATGATATTTAGATGCAAATCAGTAATTTGACATGAAAGGTTCTTAGAGGCAGAATGTATGATATATGCCTCTCATGTATTGATTATAAATGTACAGAAATATATATTACAACAATATTACATTTTATGATATAATTTTTGTACATTAATAGACAAGATCATTTTAAAGAACTAACCATGTCAGTATAGCATTATAAAGCAAGTTGATTTCATTGAACCAAACAACAATGATATTATTAATAATTTAGTAGTCATTACATAATGATCCCAAAAAATTTAATGGAGTTACTAAACTACTTAACTTCAAAACATGCATATGAATACATAAATAAAAAATAATAAATAAAAAAATTGAATAATATATTTGTGTGAATAAGAGGGAGTTGTCATCTAAAACTATAAGCTTAAAAGCAACATTATTTTCTTCAATTTCTTCTAATTCGATCTCTAGCCATCTTCATTATATAATTTCCTGTCATTAAAAAGTATGAAATTAATATTAGTCATAATGACGAAAAATTAAATTAAAATAAGTATAAATCACTTATCCATAAAATAAAAAAAACTATAAATTATAATAAAAATTATAAAATCCAAAGAAAGATTAAAAAATTTAAGTCAGTAAAACTTACAATGAATTAAAAAAGTAGTACTGTTACTCTTTATCTACTTGCATTTCATCACCCTTTTCATCCTCATCCTCATCCTCATCTTCATCCTCATTGACGTTATCATCAACCTATAATTTCATAATTATTATGCAATGACCAATAAAATATATTTGGAATACATAATGTTAAATAATAACAGGCCAACATCACTGAATGTATTAAAAGTTGAATAACAAACTAAATATATAAATAAATAAATAAAAAGGCAATACCTTTTTGTTTGATGATACATTGTGAGTTTCTTTCTCATACTCAACTTCCTCATTCTCATCGGGTAGATAATCACCATCTTTCTCAAGAGATGCATTATACTTTTGTTTATTTTTCTAAACTTTTGAGCTATCTACTAAGCTTGTTAAAGAAGCAGCAATGCGCTTTATGCCAACGTTTTCATCCTCGTCTTGTTAGCTTCAATTATCTTGAGTCTTCGTAGTTCATACTCATTTTCTATTGAAAGAATCTTTCCTCCTGATTTTGACATTTTGGAGCTAGAGAACAAAAAAAATATTAGAAATCAAAGTTTTGATAAACGAACTACAATAGATACGTGCTTTAAACAAATCATTACATTAGATTAAAACTTTGTTGAATTCTAATTTAAAAAAAAAAATAATTACTGGATTAATTTGTCAATTTGACACATTAAGAAACTTATAATGTCATAAAATTGTTTACATATGTATTTGACCCATACATATAAAAGTAGTTTACACTCGGCTATTTAACCAAACAAAACAAAATTCCATCCCTTAATCAAAGTTTACAGTCAAACGGAGGAATCAGCGTTGAACATACGCTTTCCACCCAAATCACGCATCACCCTATCTAACTATTCAACACTCACCCTTTTCTTTCTTCCCTCCTCCCATAGTAAAATTCACACCTTTCTACCAGTCCTTTATTGATATTTCTATGACAAATATATCTTTGAATAGTTATTAGTGTTTTGATTATAGAGAAAATTAAAAATAGGGTAGTATGAGAAAGTTACTTTAAAGATATATGTCCTATGTTATCTATTCTTCTATACCTCACATTTTTCTCACACAAGACATTGTTATATGTTATTTATTCTTATATATCTCTTTTTTTCCTCACAAAAATCATTATTCTACACATGCATATTTGCAAAAAATTCAACCAATAAACACAATTTAATTCAACTTATGTAAGTTAATCAAAACATCCCCTATAGTATAATAGTAGACCGTAAACATCAAACTTGCTACAATTTTTCAATCAATTACAATTCACATGCAAAATAGTTCAATTTAAAAACTATGAATAATAACCCTAAATTCGTGTTCAATCTAAAAATTTAGAATACTCTTAAATTAAAAAAAAATAAAAACAGTCGGCAAATATTACTTCTATTGATTAATTAAAGATACTAATTACCTTGGACGGTGATAAGTACTCCAACAAATAAATCAAATTTGGTTGCTTCCAATCGATAATTTTCTTGGTTTGGTTCCTCTCCGAGTTCAAGCAGTATGATTTTATAAGATTTATCTTTTGCGATTGCATAGGGTAAAATTAAAGGAGAAATTTTTTATAAAGAAAGATAGACAAAGGGAGGGAATAACAGATGAAAAAATAAAAATTCCCTCTCAATTTTTGGGCTAGTTCAGTCTCGAAAATTTCACTATTTTGAGTCCTAATTCCGCCAAGATAATCAAGAATTTTATTTTTTTCCATTTTAATACATGAGTTTTTGAAATTGATCTGAAGAAAAGATAAGAAGATTTGGTGGGTTGTTTGGTTCTTTTGGCGGAAGCTACGAAGGCTTATTTTTGGGGAAATAATGGCAGAAGAAAAGATAAGGGGTTGGGGTTTATTTTTCTTTGTTTGCTTGCCTCCGTTTTTTTTTAGGGATGGGAAATAATTGAGATCTACTAAGTAATTGAGTATAATATACAACATACATTCATGCTAAAAATAACAAAATTGTTTGACTTCTATTATACTATTTATACTAGTATATCAATTTGACTAAAGCTTTTTATGAATACATATGATGTTATGTAAAATATCTTATGTACCGTATAAAAAATTGAAGTTGTGGTGGCTTTGGGTGTAGATAACGGATTCACCATAGTGTATGATATTTTAAAGTTTTTCGTATTATTTTATAATGGAAGTGGGGTTGGTTAAAACCTATAAAAAAAATAAAAAAATAAAAAAAATAAAAAAAAAACCTCAAAAACCAAACTGATATACATGTGGAGGGGACAGAATATAAAAATATATATATTAACATATGATATGTGGAGACTACTAGTGAGGAAGAAAGTTGTAAAATATTGTTAAAAGTTTCTAAAAATGTAAATGAGCAAGTAATAAGGTACGATGTTAAAAGGAAAATTTAGAAAGTAATTAAAAAATATGAAGAAAGTATCAACTTATTACAATTTGTTACAAATCAAGATAATATATTAAAATCAACAACAAAGGATGACAAAAAGTATCACTGCATGCATAATAATACACAAAAATTACTATTAAGGGCCTTCTCCCTTTAGCTTATATTTAGTTTAGTTCAGTTCAGCTCCAATCAGTTCAGTTCAGTTCCTAATTTTCTTCCCTCATAAAATATTCAGTTCAGTTCACTTCTTAATTTCCTTCTCACATAAAATATTCAGTTCAGATCCAATCAGTTCAGTTTAGTTCAATTTAGTTCAGCTGAACTCAATAAATCTGAACAGGCAATAAGACAACATATACTTTAATGACACATTATACATGCATAATAATATACATTAATGTAATACTGTAAAAAAAAAAAAAAAAAAAAAAAAAAAAAAAAAAAAAAAAAAAAACATCAAATGAAAAAAAAACCCATAATGCCCTCCTATATGCATGCTTAACATATAGGTGTTATACGCTTATATGCACTATGTTGCTATGTAAAATACTTTTGGATTAGTCTTGTGTATATTATCATAATATAAGCTATTTATATGTATTATTAAATGTACTAATATTTCTTAATGCATGTTCTCTTTAGCTTAATTTCAGTTCAGTTCAGGCCAGTTTTGCATCATAGGGGTTACTTTGTTTGTGATATTACAGGGGGTTACCTAGTCAGTGTAAGGGGTTATTCGATCAATATTACAGGGGGTTACTTAGTCAATGTTATAGGAGTCACCTAGTCAGTGTCATAAGGGCTACTTTTTTCCTTTTATAAATGACCACACTGTGTGGCTAGCCACACACAAGATGCGATGACTTTTATCACAACCAATTGTAATTAAATATGTTAAATTTTTCTAAAATTATTTTAAATTAGGTGACATTTAAATTGTAACAACTACAATAAAAAAAAATTTAAAAAATACCAATAAAAAAAATAAAGTAAATAATTTTTGTTGTACTAGACATATTCTTAAATGGAAAATGATAAACATAGAGCTTAGGGTAATGTATAAGAAGCTAAAACAGGAAATATTGAGGAAAATTTAACATTAATTACACCGATCTGCGCGTGGTTTTGTCATGAATTCCCAACTTAATTTCATTTTAGAAAGTATATTTAATGCTTATATATAGTCCTAAGGACTACATATAACATTACCTATCTTGAATGTAGATACTCCCTCCGTGTTTTATTAAGTGTTATACTTCTCAAATCCGGTCGTGTTTTAATAAGTGTTACACTTTCTTTTTTTTTGGCAAAAAACTACATTAAAATATTATATCTCTCTCCTCTCATTGTTCCCACCCAAACCCACTACTACTTTTTTTATTATATTTTTCCTCTCACATTCATTATTTTTTAATAAACTATTAACCACACTATCTTTATTTTACATTTTTTTAATACTCCAACTACCCAACTTACCTGTTATTCTATTTAAGTCAATTAAATTGCCTAAAACTATGTGTCGGTCAAACTGTAATACTTAAAAAAAACACGGAGGGAATAATTAAAATGCCAATAAAAAAAAGAAATTAACAAAAATACTTCCTCCGTTTTCTTTTACTTTCAACACTTTTCTAAAAAGGAAATGTCACAATACTTGCAACACACTATAAAAGGAAAGTTACTTTAGGGAAAAACAATACTATTTCCCTTATTTAAAGCACATGGCCCACTAAATTACACTCCTAACAACCACTCATCTTATTTTAAAGTTTATTATATCATGTAAACCCCACCTTTTTTAATTATCGCGCTAAAGGGTGTGTTGCATATAAAAGAAAACGGAGAAAGTATTTACTTTATGTTTCAAAAAAAAAAAAAAGAGAAAGAAACGAGAGCATCCCTCCTACTGCCTTATCATATGCCTTACAACATTAAAAAATATATATATAAAAAAAAAGTAAGAACCCAAACAATGATAATGGCGGTAAGAGAACCATGTCCTCCATTTGAATGACTCTTTAGCTCCAGGTAGAATTCGAATTGATGGTTCGTGGAAGAAGTTTAGCAAACAGTATGGGGTTGGTTGGACAATAGAGATGTTTAGCACAGGTGAATTGGAAGCAGGTGAAAACTCTGGAATTGCGGCCTCAACCTTACATTCGGAGCTCTTGGCATGGTTATATGCTTTACGCTGGGCTAAAGATAATGGCTACCGTTCAATCAGAGTTTTAACCGATTGTGCCTCTCTTGTGACGATGCTTAACAGGGAAACACCCTTGGATATTAATATTTACTAAACTTGGAAGGATATTATTAAAATTGGAAGCACCTTCCAACATTGCATTATCCTCAAAGTTGATAGAGCACAGGTCAACCTCTCTCATTGTATTGTTAATCAGTGTCGTACTTCTTTAAACTGCTTTTCTAATTCGGTAGGATTTGATGTTTTTTAGTTTAGCTTTTCTCCTTTTTCTTCCTTTCTTTCTACTGGTGTCAAAAAAAATAAAAAAAAAAATAATTGCAGTAAGGCCTTTGTATATTCCGCCATTATTTTCCCAAAAATCAAAATATCCCACCAAAGTTTCTTTATCTAAATTTTGGTAAATTAACCTTTGCCTAAATTTCTTTATCAAAGTTTCCTTTTATACTTTCACCATAAGCAATCTAAAAAGTCAAGTTTGTAGAATAATACTACTCAATTTCTGGAACGAAACAGAGGAACAAGACGAAAAAAAAAAGCTTAGATTCAGCCGAATTTGATTTTTTTTTGGAGTACGTCTCACTGTTCAAGGTAATTTAAATTGTTTACTTTATCAATAGAAATATAGTGGTTCTGAATTTAGGGTTCCTGTTCTTCAGTTTATTGTCATAATTTTATATTGAAATTTGATGGTGGAAGTGAAATTGAATGTTGAAATTATCAATTTTTCATTAATTTCATCCTATTATATAATGTATTAATCACCATAAAAGGCACCTAACCAAATTTTGTTGGTTTTGGGTAAAACGATTGTAAGGAACTAAATTTTGTTGATTAAATCATATTAATCAAATACGTGTGCAAACTGCTTCATGATATTTTGAGTATCTTTATATGCCAATTTTGACAAACTAATGCAGTAATTAAAGTATTGTTGACACATTAACTAATTTAATCAGCCAAGTACTTTTTTTAATCCCTTGTAAATTTTATTTGCTTAATTTTGTGTTATTAATTCATAGCTATGTTACAACATCTTTTAATGTAATCAACTTGTTTATACATTTTAATATGATAATTACATAGGACATCATGGTATCAAAGAATCGTGAGTGGATGCAATACAAAAAAACAATGATCCTAGATATAAGATTGGCGTAAAAGAGTTAATATGATACTACCTATAATTAGATTAATATTGTCAGATAAGATGAATAAATAATATACTTGAAATCAATGAATCAAACTTCATGACTTTAAGTTTAACTAACTCGTCTATTATCTCAAGCAGCCATGTTAGTTTCAAGTTAGTGGTTTTAACTTTTAAGTGATCCATCTATTTTAGAACCCCATCAGCCCCTTATTAATTGTGCTATATTACCAACCTTATATGTCTTAATCTCTTTCATAGTGGAATTACCCAAGTCCTTAAGTTGTCAAATTTTTAATTATTATGATTATTAAATATTATATAATGATAATTGGTTTATATAAAGTTTCTTGCAAACATATAAATTAAATTGTTATGATATTTTGGTTTAATTTTTTTTACGGCTTTTTATGATAATCTTCTATGTTTACATGTATTTATCTATTTTATAGGTTTAGGAAATATTTCAAGCATTATCCCTAACTCGAACCCCACTGTGATCATACACTAAAGTACAGTGGCGTCCAAAGGGAAAGAAGATAGAACAAAAGAGTCGCCAACAAGTTTTTAGGAACTTGTAAACCGTTCACGAGGTGAAGGTTACACCCCTTAACGATCCAAGAGATCGTCAACTCCAATAGTTTTGGAACCATGACTGGTAGTTCGGGGATGAAGGTACAAATCCAACCTAAAAGATATTGAACCTGCCCTAATAATAGGCCTCCACTTTATTCTGATCGTATTCATGTGCGCTTTCTGACTAACATGAAGTCAATAGGTTTAACCCTAAACCTGTTTATCTATGTTGGTTGAATATTATTGCACAATAATCTATTATTGCACAATAATCTATTATTTGCGATCACTTGAATTATAATAAAATTAACACTAAACAAGATTATTAATTATCTTATTAAGCGTGATTACAAGTACCAATTCCCTTTAAACATGCATAGAGGTGCGGTCACATTCATATTCATATCCATGCATGATCGAGTCAAAGAATATCCAATGCTAATTCCAACCCATTTAGAGCTAGACTTGGGGGCTTGAACCCACATCATTTAGCCTACCTAGCCTAAAGAGTGATCATCTTTGACTCTTCTCACATCTCTTTCCATCGCCATAACCCTTGCAGCCAGCCTTAGTATCACATTCACTCACTTCACTCAAATATCCATATCCATATCAATCATCCTTCCTTTTAAGAGCCCTTTATCATGAAATATTGTTTCAACACTGTGCATGTTTCATCATATTTAAAGACAACATTCATTAGAAGAAACATTGTATACTTGCTTAGCTTCCTGACCTGAGCAATATTTATTGTTTCATGCATCGCATAATGTGCTGAGCTTACAAAGCATGTCGTGCTTTAGCTCCTTGACCTAAGCAGTGTTCACTATGCAATAATCACTTCATCTGTATACGTGCTTAGCTTCTAGACCTAAGTGACGTTCAAGATCGTTTCTTTACACCATATATGATGCTTAGCTCCATGACCTAAGTTCATTCATCGTGTCACATGATGTAATTGTCCTTAGCCTCCTGGCCTAAGGACATGCATTATGCATACATTACTTTCAAGAAAAGCAATTCAATCCATGCGATTCATTTTGTCTTGCTCAACGAGGAAGTTCAAAACTTCTTTCATTTTTTCGCGTCTTTTCTTTTGGGGAAGTTTAAAAAAACTTTTTCAAAATTTTCTCATCGTGGGAAGTTCGAAAATAAAAGTTCAGTTTTCACATCTTTCTTTTTTAGGGGAATGTCGGTACCCTCCACTCATGACAAAAATTGACTGAAAATTTTTGCTTTTGCATCTTCATTTGCTTGTGTCTGCACACACACATATACACACACACACTCACAAGTCAT